ATGTGCCAACTTCTGTGGTTCTTTGTCTTTTTGTTCCAGAGTTAGGTTCTTCTCTAGGAGTACGCCCAAGTAGCTTCCGATAGTAGGCGGTGTCGAGAACTGGGGCAGGATGGATAAGTGGTTCATCATTCGTCTTCTCTACTCCTGCTCGAGTGCACAGCTCGGTGATGAGATGTGGGAAAGGGAACCTCCCTCACCCTAGTTGGGTTGCATTCTTCATACTCGTCATGATAATTTTCCCCACATCCATTCTCTTTCCAGTGGCGATGGAATAAAGCAATACCGCCTTATCAAAAGTTACCGAACTATAATGTGTCTCCAGAATCATCCTCGCGCACACAAAGTACTGACACAACCTAGCCATCGGTATCAGATTAGTTCCCTTGATACTCTTCTTATCCTTTTTCGAAACCTCCCAAGGGGTATCCGGTTTTGCTATGACCTTAAGTATCTCATCCTCCTTAAATTGTTTCTTCTTAAATTCCAGATAATTATCACGGTCAATCGAAGGCAAGTTGTAAAAATTGTTTATGACCTTCGCATCTATTGGCACATCAATCCCCCTCACAAATACATGCCCAGGATCACAGTTAGGAAGGTTGGCATAAAACTCTCTCACTATCGGCTCTACGGCCGCATGTCTAGGTTCACATATAAATGAATCCTACTTTCTCCCTTGACTCCACTCCTCAGCATAGACAGTGGTCAAACCCCGCTCGGCAATAAACCCCTTATCCTTCCTTTTAATTGCTCCTTCATATCGTTGCCGACCCTTGTCACTAACAAATCTATTGTCCACTTTTTTTCCTTTTCCTTTACCCTTGGACGGTACTTTAAGCAGCATTTTTGGTTCGACTCTAATGTACCCCCAAACTAAGATTCTAACCAGACAATTCAACTCTAAATACCCTACTATTGACCACAATCACTCCTGCAAAAACACCAAAATTTTGAAAAATTGCACCTAGACCCCAAAAATCACTCTTCTTCCAAACTCAACAAAACACTCCCAAATTGAAAACCCAACCTCCTCAACACCACACAAATCAAGATCCACACTTCTTTAATCAAAATCAAAGCACAAACAGCAATAAAAATCCACAACTCACGCAAACAATCAAAATCTCATATTCAAAACTCTAATAATTGAAATTGATCAATTTAAATTTTGGAGAACTCGAAATCTCACCAATCCCAAGATGTATTCACCACCAATTTAACAAAATTTGGCCTAGATCGCAAGATCCCCAAATTCTTGAACCCTAGGGTTTCCAAAAATTTTCTTCAATTTTTCCCAGAGATCCTTGCTAAAATGAGTTGTTTTGGTGTTTGTGAGGGTTAAGGAGTGAGGAAAAGTGATGGGAATTCATTGGAGAAGCTCTGGATTGAAGGTGGAAAAGTTTGGCTCTCGGATGTGTTTTGAAGTTTTTCGCGAAAATGAAGAGTCGCGACTCACTATTTATAAAAAGTAGTTTTCGCCACGGCGAAGAAAAAACTTCGCCGCGGTGAAGTTCTTCAATTATGAACAAATATGAACGCAGTCGATGTCGCGGCGAAGAAACTTTTGTCACCGCGGTGAAAAATTCCAGAGCCTACAGCGCCACGATGAAAAACACACTTTGCTGCGGTGAACTTCCCTTAACTCAATTTCGCAAAACTCTTTCTGCCACGGTGAAAAATTCCAGAGAGCACGTCGCCTTGGCGAAGAACAAATTTTGCCGTGGCAAAGTCTGGGACTTTTCAGATTCCTTTTCTTGAAAATTGTACTTCGCCGCGGTTAAAACTGGAAAAATTTTCCCTTTTTTGCTTGAGTTCGATATTTCACCTGAAACACCCAAAAACACATGAAATCAAAATTATTCTAATTTATATAACAACTAAACAAATTTAAAACAACAGACAAATGACAAACAAGTGAAAACACTTGGGTTGCCTCCCAAGAAGCGCTTGTTTATAGTCAGAAGCTCGACTTTCTCAAGTCTTCATGTCGGGATGTCAAGTTGGATGGGAAATGACTTGCAACTCATCACCCCATCAATGTATGGCTTCAATCTCTGTCCATTGACCTTAAATGTGCCCTTTTCTTCATGTGACACTTCCACCGCCCCTTATGGGTAGACTCTTGTAACTGTGAAAGGTCCGGACTACTAGACTTAAGTTTTCCAGGAAAGAGCCTAAGTCTAGAATTATACAACAACACCTTCTGACCCACTTCAAAGTTCTTCTTCCTGATATGCTTGTCATGCCACCTTTTTGTCTTTTCTTTGTAAATCCAAGCATTCTTATACGCTTTGTGATGGAACTCATCGAGTTCATTCAAAGTTAGCATACTTTCTTCCCCATCAGCTCGTAAGTCCATGTTTAGCTGTTTGACTGCCAAGTATGCCTTATGCTCGAGTTCTACCGGCAAGTGACATGCCTTCCCATAGACCATCCTAAATGGAGACATACCAATTGGAGTCTTAAATGCAGTGTGGTAGGGCCATAATGCATCATCCAATTTCCGTGACCAATCCTTCCTAGATGCATTAACCGTCTTCTCTAAAATTCCCTTAAGTTCTCTGTTCGATAGTTCCACTTGCCTGCTAGTCTGTGGATGATATGGTGTCGCAACTCTATGTTTCACTCCATATTTTCCCAACATCGCATCTAATTGCCTATTGCAAAAATACGATCCTCCATCACTGATGATTGCCCGTGGTACCCCAAATCTTGAGAAAATGTTCTTTCTCACAAAATTAACCACCACCCTAGCATCATTGGATGGCAATGCAACTGCTTCCACCTATTTTGATACGTAATCCACTACTACCAAAATGTACATGTTCCCGTAAGAATTTGGGAAAGAACCCATGAAGTCAATTCCCCACCATCGAACATCTTAACAACTAGGATATTGTTTAACGACACTCATCTTTCTTCGAAATATTTCCACTCTGTTGACATTGGCCACATTCCTAAACATCTGGAAGGCATCCTTGAATAGGGTTAGCCAATAAAATCTAGACTGAAGGACCTTGGCCGCTGTCCTAGTTCCTCCAAAATGACCACCCACTTCTCTCTCATGGCAATGTCGTAGAATACTCTCCATCTCCTCTTCCGATACACACCTACGTATCATGTTTGTACAGAATGGTTGTTCCTAGAAATAATACTTCAAGTTAGAGAAAAACTTTCTCTTCTGCTGAAAGGTCATTCCATTTGGGAGCACTCTCAATGACAAGTAGTTTGCAAAATCTGCATACCACGGTGCTTCTTCCACTCTCATCAATTTCTCATCTGGGAAGGTTTCTTTGATTTGGGTTTCCTCTTCACTTCCCTGACTTGGTCATTCAATCCTTGACAAATGATCCGCCATGACATTTTCTGACCCCTTTTTATCTCGGATTTCCAACTCAAACTCTTGTAGTAGTAGGATCTATCTTATCAATCATGGTTTTGCTTCTTGCTTAGCTAATAGATGTTTGAATGTTGAATGATCCGTGTAAACTATCACCTTAGCACCTAGCAAGTGAGAACGCAATTTGTCAAATGCAAAAACCACAACTAATAGCTCTTTTTCAGTAGTGGTGTAATTCAATTGTGCATCGGTAAGTGTTTTGCTAGCATACTGAATTACATGCAACGCTTTGTTTTTCCTCTATCCTAATACTACTCCTAGTACAAAATCACTAGCATCACACATCAATTCAAATGATAGTCTGCAATCGGGAACTGCAATAATAGGTGCAAACACTAACAATTTCTTAAGAGTTCGAAAAGCATGCATGCATTCATCATGAAAATCAAAAGCAACATCTTTAATCAGTAAATTAAGAAACTCCGAACTGTCTTAACATTTGCAGGTGGTGGCAGCTTCTCTATCACTTCTGTTTTTGCTCAATCCACTTGGATGCCATCTTTTGAAATTCTGTGACTGAGTAAAATTCCTTCATGTACCATGAACTGGCATTTCTCCCAATTTAGCACCAAGTTCGTCTCCTGACATCGCTGCAAAACAAATTAGATATTAGATAAACAATTGTCAAAAAAAGAGCCAAAAACAGAGAAGTCATCCATGAAGACTTCTATGAACCGTTCAACCATGTCACCAAAGATAGACATATGCATCTCTAAAATGTGGCCGGTGCATTGCATAATCCGAAAGGCATCCTTATTTAAGCAAAGGTGCCATAGGGACAAGTGAAAGTTGTCTTCTCTTGATCTTTAGGAGAAATGGCGATTTGATTATATCCTGAAAAACTATTCAAGAAACAATAGTAAGCATGCCCTGCCAATCTCTCCAACATTTGATCGATGAACGGAAGTGGGAAATGATCCTTTCTTGTCACTTCATTCAATTTCTGGTAGTCAATGCACACTCTCCAACCCGTGACTGTCCTGGTTGGTATCAATTCATTGCTTTCATTCTTTATCACTGTGATACCACCTTTCTTTGGAACCACTTGCACCGGGCTCACCTATGGACTATCAGAAATAGGATAAATTATGCCTGCATCTAGAAGTTTCACCACCTCCTTTCTCACCACTTCCTTCACCGAAGGATTCAATCTCTGTTGTGGTTGCACCCTAGGCTTGACATCATCTTCCATAAGTATCTAATACATACAAAATGATTGAGAGATGTCTCTAATGTCTGAAATAGTCCATCCAATTGTTGATCTATGTTCCCTTAACACCCGAATCAATCGCTCTTCTTCTAATTTACTCAACCTTGAATTGATGATAACTGGGAAGGTTTCTAATTCATCAAGATACACATATTTGAGGTGGGAAGGCAAAGGCTTCAGTTCAAGTTTTGGAGGTTCCTCCTTTCTTTCTTTTTCCTTCTCTTTCTCAAAATCAAATTCCTCAAATTCTAGATCTTGGCTTTCAACCATCGGCTGAACTGTTTCCAACAATCTAGCACATTCATTCTTTGCCGGCTCATCTACCTCTATTGTTTTTTATTGGGCAATACACGCTTCTAGAGGTAGTTGCAGAGTGTTCTCTTCAATAACCTCTGCTATTAGTTCATCCACCACGTCTACACTAAAGCATGAATCCGACTCAGATGGAAATTTCATAGCCTCAAAAACATTGAATGTTATTGTTTCATCTTGGACTCTTAATAGTAACTTTCCTTCTTGCACATCAATGAGAGCTCTTCCGATGGCCAGAAATGGTCTTCCCAAAATGAGAGGCATTTCCTTATCCTATTCCATGTCCAATACAACAAAAGCTGCCAGAAAAATTACTTTATCCACCTTCACCAAAACATCTTCAGCTATACCCCTCGGATGTTTTGTGGATCTATCTGCAAGCTGCAACGACATGGTTGTTGGCTTCACTTCACTAATTCCTAATCTCCTGAAAACAGAAAAAGGCATTAGATTGATGCTTGCACCTAAATCACATAAAACTCTCTCAAAAGTAATGTTTCCTATAATACAAGGAATAGTAAAACTCATTGGATCTTTGAGTTTCGGGGGTAGCTTCTTCGGCAAAATGGCACTGCACTCCTCTGTAAGCATCACTATTTCCTCATCTTCTAACTTCCTTTTGTTTGATAAAATCTCCTTGAGAAATTTCGCGTAGCTCGGCATCTATTGCAATGCATCTGCAAAAGGAATGTTAATATGCAGTTTTTTTAAATATTTCAATGAATTTGGTAAACTGCTTATCCTGATTTTTCTTCTTGAGTCTCTGAGGAAAAGGCACGGGTGGGGTGTGATGTACCAACTCTAGTGGTATCTCGGGGAATGGCAATTTCTCTTTCTTTTTTCTTTGCCTTTCTTCCTGCTTTTGCTCATCTTCCCTAGAACTGGTTGGTTTCTCTTCAACAATTATTTCTTCGTCAACTTCCTCATCGGAATCTTCCTTTTCATATGGTGGGCTTTCTTCTTTCCCTGATTGTTCCACCTTTTCCAAGACTGTCCCACTCCTCAGAGTTATTGCATTTGCTTTCTCACGTGGGTTAGTCACTGTGTTACAAATCCATGCCCAAAATAATATCAAAGTCGGGCATGTCAAACACAATCAAATCTACCGGCAACATTCTTCCATGGATCACTACAAACTCCCCTGGAAGCATCTCCCGAGTTACCACACTGTCACCATCTAGCAATTCTATCTTAATGGGTTATTCTACTGTAATAGGTTTCAAACCCAATCTCTCTATAATCCCATGTGTAATAAATGAGTGTGTGGCTCCAGAAACAACTAATGCATAAAGGGAAACTGAATGAAATAAGAACTGACTAGTAACCACCGATGGGCTGGCCTCAGCTTCACTCTATGCAACCATGAATACTCGAGCATTAGTACCTCTAGATGTCTGTGCTGTGGGTGCATGAGGAGCCTTACAATCTTTCATCATATGTCCGGGTTGTCAGCATCTAAAACACACACCTTTGAGACACTCTCCCGGATGATATTTCCCGCATTTCTGACATTAGGGAAACTCAATAGTTCTTGGCCATTTGTTCTTCCCATCCCTCTTGTTCTTCTTTGACTGAAATCTTTTCTTATTCTTCCTTTCTCTACTATTGGGGCTATCAAATCTGTCTCTCTGTAGAGTGGGAGGTGGAATACTGGACACTACTGTTGATGGAGTCAATGAAGTTAACTTATTAACAAATACTTTGGCTCGCAAAGCTTGCTCTAAAGCCTCACTATAAGTCTGAGGGGGTTGGGCACCTGCCATCACATCTCGGGCTATTTTTGGATTCAGCCTATGCACAAACTTATCCCTCCTCAACTTTGGTGTGCTCATTATACCTGGTGCAAACCTCGCCAAGGAATTAAATCTAATGGAGTATTCCTTCACTGAACTAATTCGCTGATGTAGGTTATTAAATTCCTGTATCTTTTCATGCATTGTATCAGTTGTCCTATATTCTGCCTCAAAAAGTCATCTAAAATCTCCCCAGGTCATCCTGGCTACATCATGAGTCTCCTCCATCACCTCCCACCATATCCAGGCATCACTGTTAAATAAGAAACTCGCATACTGGATCTTCTCCCAATCTGTCATGGGAAAAAGTATTGTCGTATGCTCCACAGATCTAATCCATTCTTTTGCCACTGATGGATCAGTCATACCTCGAAATTCTAACGACTAATGCTGACTAGGTAACCCATAAATGGGCTTAAGATGACTCTGTACTATCAGAGGTATCGGCCTTTCTCTCTCCTCCCTAGTGGTCGGTGGTACAACTACTGGGGTCTTAAATCCCTCTGATATAGGTCTCCCCTGGCTCTCTGCCAATACCTGCTGAATAATAGTACGAATCTTCGCCTCATCGAGGACAGGGGGAGTAGATCTGGACGGGTTTAATGGCTCACCCGTACTCATTGCATTCTTCTTACCGGATCGAGTCGTCTGTCTCATCTAAAACACATAGCATCAATACCATTAGTCTGCTAATACAAGTGAGAAAAGAAATAACTTACAACGATCGGCTCCGGTACGTCAATGCGGAAGGCGAGGCATACTGTCAATTTCCCAAAATCGACGCTGTGATACCAAAAATGTAATATACTATATAGCCAGTAATTCTGTAAGAAATATAAGATAGAATTTACTAAATAACTTTTACAAACATATATATACATAATGTAAATCTGAAAGTTCTAATTTTTATTTCATATAAATATATACGCAAAACACTGATATACTTTAGTAAATATAAGGTAATCTTGAACAATGCCGCCAAACTCCACCACTTCTTGATGTGCCACCCGATCACAAATCATCTAGTACCTGCAAAACAGTAAATTAACGGAGTGAGCACTAATTGCTTAGTAAGTAAACCAAACTGCACTATTGTGTTTCCTCCGTTACTCATGTTCTGATTTTTCTTCTTCTCACTTTATTCTTTGATTATATTCTTCATTCTTTTCTATTTCTGTTTCTCTTATGTTGTAATCTCTTTCTTTTCTTTTCTATTTCTCTTTCTTTTATTTCTTCTTTCTAGTTTGCCGATCGGAGTAGGTTGATGCATGGATTTGGAACCCTGGCCATGTGAGTGGGTACAGTCCTCATCTACAAGCACTACTCATGGACTATACAAGTACTGTATCTCTTTGATGTGGTCGCTCGTTTGTGGCGGCATGCATGTAGGTATACTCTACTGGGTACAGTCCTCATCCACATACACTACTCATGGACTGTACAAATACTATATTTCTCTGCTGATGCTGCTCGCTCATGGCGGCGTGTATGTGGGCATCTCTATCACTCATGGGTTCCCCATCGCAAAAACCTTCTATCATAGCATAATATAGAAAGAGAATAGAAAGAGATACTATGCACAGTTCTACATAACTTCCCAAGCTATGGAAATTCTACACTTGCATTCTTTAAAAAAAAATATAAACTTTCCATATATGAACATATCATTTCATCATGACCATTTCATGGATACATAACAAATTCATTACATCAAATATATATGTTCATACAATCATTAAATAATCATAAAGACCACTCATTCAAACATGCTTCACAACCCTTTAAACATCATTTTCATACTCAGGATCAACCATTGATTATTAGGCTACAAGCAAATTAATAAAGTGGAAGCACTTTTGAGATAGTCATTCTGCACATGTCATATTCAAGAAGTCATATTTTGAGTTATACACATCGGATTGCTATGATCTTGCTCTCATTTTAAATGTTAGAGAAAGGGCTACAATGTTTATGTTTAGGACTTAACCCAGTTCGATAGGTAAGATGCCTAAAAATCACTCAGAAGGTCACGGACTTAACAGGGCAACCTTGGTAACATGCCTACGTTAAGGCTTTTCCATACCTATTTACCTCCACTTACTCCCTAACCTTTCCTAACCATTCACCCCTGTGAAAACAGGTAAAAGATCAATAATACACATTCAAACTTCAAGTCTTGCCTTTCTCTAACCCTTTCCTCATTAGGGTTTAGCCAACTCATGCACGCAATTTCTCTTTGGATTTTCATCAAACACTTCATATGCACATGCAACTACCTTGTTGGCTACATGATATGAATTCTTACAACCACAATTCATATACTACCCTAATTCAACCAATTCTAAATCCACTTAGGCTAGGATTTCTTCCAACTCCTTATGACCATTCGGCTATCACCCTCCATACACACACAACTATTATGACAACTTAGAACAACTCCTTGCATCAAACTCCAATCAACACAAAAGCACTCTTGTTCAAATACACCACAAATGGATTCATACACAACATGCAAACAAATTCGAAAAAGAGGTAAATTGTAGCAAAAGGAAGCCA